GCAATCTATATGTGAGCATCTGAAGACAATTACAAGACACACTTACAACTTCCACACCCCTGTTTGTCCCAGCAGATGCCCATTTGCTAAGAGTACACTAAGTGAAAGTTCACAAGGGTAGACTTACCAGCTTCTTTTAAGTCATACCTTCTCGTGGAAAATGTAGTCACTGTTCTCTGCCTCATGTTTGATACTTCAGATCTCAGTAAAATCATCAGCAGCAGCAGAGTGAGTTAGACAAACCCTACATGTATCAGATTGCAGGGAAGTAAATTAGGGGAAAAACCAAAGACTTCTTTAATAAAATAGTTTTTAAAGTCATGGTGCTGTATATGATTTAGGGGTCACTTAAAACAGGAGATGTTTCTTAACTGACAACCTATTATTGATCTTTACCTCTTATTGTTTTCTTTTGCCAGATGATAAATAATAGCAGTTGTAATCTTTCTTTTAAGTCCATATTTTTTAAAGCGATTTTAAAAGACAACCACTAAGGATAGAAATAACTGTGAAAAGTACTTATTTCTCTAGTTCCATTTCTTCTTTAATACTTCCAGGTATGTTCACCAGGCTGATGGGTTCGTTCAGCTCTAAACCTTCAGGTTAATGCAGAAATTATACATCATGTTGCTAATGTTGCTCTAGTTAATGACAACATATCTGTAACTAATAGGATTGAATTACTACAAGGTAAAAACACTATTATTGATTCAGAAACAGCCTCATAAAGTAAAAGAAGTATGCTGGGACTTTATGAGCCTAAGTTCCTAAAATTTAAGTAACAGGGTAAAGATGGGCAGAAGGCTGATTAATATGGTCCTCAGACTCTGTATAGAATCAAACAGGCTGGAGTGGGTAAGTTTTTATGATTTGTTAGTTTGCCACTATCAGGAAACATTGGTATTCTCTGTGGCTGATGATGAAAAGTAATTTATCATTTCTATTCATACTTTTATTTAGCACTAACTACGTGCAAATGACTACATCAGAAATTGCGTATTACAAAAGTAATAACAAAATGAGGTCATGTTAAAACTAGCTGGCAAATAAGGTAATGGGAATTATATTGATTTTTTCTGCATACAATTTTGTTTTTCTCACACCCATCATTCCACTACCTTCCCCATTCTTCTCACCCCCTCTCTTTCTGCCTCTTTTCTCTCCAAAGGATTCCACTTCTGAATTCTCTCATATTCATTCCACAATTGAGAGAGTTATACAATATTTCTTCCATCCCATTAGTAAGTTCTTGACTTGTCATAGCTTGCCATCTGTCTATTGAGAGAGGTCACCATAATGCATTGTCACTGCCTGTACAGACAAAATCCAGGTTCATGAAGTGCTGTCTGAAGACAGGAGAGTGGCAAAACAGATGAGTTTGGGCTGAATTTTGATGGCTCAGTCTGTTTAACTAAGCTAATTTATCAGGGAACTGCATTCCAGGTGGAGCAACAGATTTGCGCAAATGCACCATCACAGATCTCTGAAAAACATGGTGCTATATTCTATAATACAGCATGCATGAAAGTGACTAGTGAAGGAAAGTCTGCAAAAGTAAGAGCCATTCAGATCATGTAAAGTCTTTAAATGGAATTCTAATATTCAGAATTTGTAGACTATGGGTGAGGCTTTGAAGGTTTTGAGAATGGCCTGAGATCACTCTGGAAGCAGCATGCTAAATTGAGTGAAACTGTAAGTGATATTAAAAAAATCAATGGTTATTGAGAAATGATAGGATATTTATTCAAGGGTAAAAGAGAAGTAAGAATGTGCTAAACACGGTGTGTGGTGTTACAGCGAGTGCGTGTTGGTACTGAAGATGGAATAAAATAAAAGCAATGGCTTATCTCAAAAAAAGAAGGCAAGAAGGGAGGAAGGAAGGAAGGAAGGAAGGAAGGAAGGAAGGAAGGAAGGAAGGAAGGAAGGAATCCACCAGTAAAGACAATACAGAGAGATATCATTTAAGAAATGGACTTTGAGAAAACATATAGCTAAAGTCCTGTATCCTTTTAGGAAAGAATGATGGAGCCATCACTGAAAACAGTATCCATTATTTAGACTGGAAAGGGCCAGGAATAGTTCCCATGAATCACAACACAAGGAAAAGTCACCTAGAGGTGAATCAGAGAATCCATGCAACTCTGTGTACAGACTAATAATAGTCAGAAATGTCTAGTTGAGCCAATTGGCACAATTTTGTAACTTTTCCTGGTAACAGCCACCTGGTAGTGAGATCAAAGAAAGTATCCTGGGCTGTTTTCTCAGCATGAAGTATAGGTAGGAAGGCAATGATCATAATAGACCTAAGGGACTTCCTCTGCTTAGATGAAGAAACATGAACTAGTGGGTCGCTGATTCACATGTCACCACGCCTAGTGAGACTGAAGTGTTGAAGGAATTAAAGACTGGCTCCATGTGAAGAACTGATTCTCAAAATATGAGAGGAAAGGGATGAGAGAGGTGGCAAGGCCAGAGTAGAAAACTTCCAAGTACAGGATTTAAGAAAGGAGGTAGTTTTGAGTAACATTCTTACTATCCTTTCACTATGAGCACACTAATTATCATATTATCTACTACACTTCTTTACAAATTAGTGATTAAGAACAAGGTGGCTAAAGGCTTCTCTGTAAACCACTCCATGGCTGAACGACAGAGCAACAACTGCAGCCCAAATTCTACTTGCTTTGATGGGAGAAAATATGCAGCATAGACAACAAGTAAATGTGGCCCGTGGTTTCATTTTTTTTTTTTTTAGAATGTAAACCATGTAGAAACAAGCTATGGCCTGTGGGCTAATGTTGATCCTATACCTTCTCCATAAAGTAATTACTGCATTTGTTAAATTTATTACCTATGTCTCCTTTTTACTATAAGTCAATGCTGAGTGGTTGGAATAGAGATAAAAGTATTTACTATTGAATCCTAAGCACAAGAAGGGCCCCAACGTCCTATGACTGTGTTCTTATTTTTACTTTTGATGGTCCCATAATTGAAAGCAGACAGTGTGAACACCAAGTATATGTTCTACCACAGAAATATACCATTAGCCCTTCAGATTTTGATTTTTTTAAATAATTTTAAATTGTTTTGTAATTATAATCACATCATTTTCCCTCTTCAACTTCCTCCCTCCAACTTCTACCATATATCCTGTAACTCTCACAAAATCATGGCCTCTTAATTCTTGCATATATACAAAATACAGGAGGCCTAGGTAATCTATGGGGCCTTGAGTAGTATTTATCCCTGGCTTACAAATAGCCTTTGAGTGCCCATCCCAAAATGAGGGATGCTCTCTCAGCCTGGACTCTTGAAGGAGAGCCAAGACCCTACCCTGGATGACATGACAGACTCTGAAGATCCACCATGGAGGGCCTCACCCTCCCTGGGGATCAGAGTGGAGATTGGGTGTGGGACTGGGGGCACCTGGTAGGGATGCATGGGGAGGAGGAGAGGGAGAGGGCACTGGGATTGACATGTGAAACAAACTTGTTTCTAACTTAAATTTAAAAAAAAGAAGAGAAAAAGAAAAAAACAAAAAAAAATACATAAAAACAACCTATCCAGCCTATATAATAGTACCTGTATGTATATTATCTTACGACTGACTACTTGGTATTAGATAACCAGCTGGGAGACTCTTCCCTGGGAAAAACTATTCCTCCTACTCTCAGCACTCCTGAATGACTATAGTTCTTTGTCGATGGTTGAGGCCCCATGAGCCTCCCGCTTCTGTGTTACCATGCCCATTTGTCTCATTATTACTCAGGTCTTGGTTAGGCAGTGCAGTGGTTTGAATAAGAATGGTGCCTACAGGCTCATATATTGGAAAGCTTAATCACCAAGGAGCAGAGCCATTTAAAAGTATTAGTAAGATTAGGTTTGGCCTTGTTGGAGGAAGTGCGTCCTTAGGAGCAGGTTTTGAGTTTTCAAAAGCCCACACCAGGCCCAGTGTTCTTTCTCTCTTGATTGTGGATCGGGAAGTAGAGCTCTGGGCTACTTCTCTAGTACCATGCCTATTTACATGCCACCATATACTACACCATAATGATAATGGACTACGCCTCTGAAACTGTAAGCAAGCCTTCAGTTAAACGCTTTCTTTTATAAGAGTTTCTTTGACTAACACTAATACACAAACTGACTTAGTGGAGCCCATTCTATATGGCAAGATATTGCCCAACTGAGACACAGGGATGTGGGGATGGAGAGGTGCCTTGGTCCTGCCTCAACTAGATGATGGGACAGATTTAGTAGACTTCCTAGGGGAGGCCTTAACCTCTCCATGGGGCAGAAGTGAGGAGGGGGGAAATAGGATTGGAATGTAAAAAATAAATAAATAAATTTTATTTAAAAAAGAAGAGTTGTTTGGGCACAATAATCTCTTCATGGCAATATAACAGTGACTAAGACAGGAAGCTGTGTTGATGAGACTTCATCAAAGTGTAGCATTTTTGACATTTCTAGTAGACAAATCTCACACCAAACCTGCTCTTCCTTTGTCTCTTACAATCCAAGCCCCCAATCTCTTCAGTAATGATCGTTGAATCATAAGTGCAGGAATTGGGTTGTGTGTATATCAGTTGGGACCAGGCACCACAGCCTCGTTGTTCTTTTTGATTGGTTTTGATTTCTCTGTAATGGTAGCCATTAGTTGTAAAAGGATGTTTCTTCTATGAGACCCAAGAATTAAATTTATCTGTGAGCATAGTGTAAACATTTAGAATGCAGTTAAGGATTGTACTGGTTTAATAACTGGTTAGAGAACTGTTGGATTACTGCCAAGGCATGTGTACCACTATTGCACCCTTAGGGTGCTTCTCCATGCTGGTTATTCTTGTGGTTTGATACAAATGTTTCAGGCAAGAATCAAAATACTACTTCTAAACAATTGTTTCTCATTCATTTTATGTCATTCACTTAATCCTGTTCCTCCGTTAAATGTTCACCATTGATTATCATTACATTCACCTACTAACTTTTCTTTCCTTCTCTTGCAGTCCCTGCTATGTGGATATTTGTTAGCAATGACTGATGTGGAAACTACATATGCAGATTTTATTGCTTCAGGAAGAACAGGTAGAAGAAATGCAATACATGATATCCTGGTTTCCTCTGCAAGTGGCAACAGCAATGAATTAGCCTTGAAATTAGCAGGTCTTGATATTAACAAGACAGGTGAGTCACTTAATGTACACCTTCCTAGGAACATGGGACGATCTGGCATTTCCCTACATGAGAACAGAGCACACACACACACACACACACACACACACACACACACACACACACACACACACACACACACACCTTCTTTTGAAATCAAATGACACAATTAAAAATAGTTCAGATAAGATGAAAGTCTCTGTTTAGATCCTTAATCCCTCCTTTTCTTTCAGCAACTTCTCTTGAAAGGGTTGCCTACACACATTGAAAGCTGAAAACACATGATCAAAAACTTCAATATCTACAGAAGCTTTGGAATTACTTATGGAGAAGACTTAATAAAGTTAGGACTCCTGCCAAGGATAACTCTAGCTATCTCCCACATTTCATGTATACCTAAAAGAGTCACAATGAGTCAGGCAGACCTTAATTCAAAGAATCATTTCAAAACAGTTACCTTAGAACCATTTTTATTGAGAATGGAAATAAAAAAGTTTATGTAAGTACTTCTTAGATGAAATGGTTTTGTAGGGAAAATGTACCTTAGTACTTATACTAGTAAAAAAGAAATATTTTAATACATTGAAATATTTGATAGCCTTAATTCTCAGTATTAAAAACAATTCTTTAATAGTTTCCAAATGCATAACTTCATCAAATATTTTAAGAAGACTTGCACAAAAAATTATTAAGTATGAAAATAATTCACAGCCAAGGAACTACAGTGTTGTATACTTAACAAGAATTCACAATTTCTGACTCTGTAATGTTCAATATGACTTCAGTCTAAGAATATATGTGTGAACACTTTCAGATTGTTGAAAATGTTTAAGTTTATGTGTGTGGTTTTAAAAAGACAGAATTTTATTCATTTATTAAAGGTCAGTGTATCATCGACACCCTTTCAATTTTAGATTAGTGGCAAATGTTGACATCATAGCTTTGGACTGCATAGACATGCATATTATAGGACTCATTGTTTCCTTGTCACTATTGCATATACTTTATATACTTAATTCTCAAAGCAATTTGGAGACAGACTATAGGGCATTATTTTATTCTACTAACATGAAATGAGTAAATACGCATTTTCCATGACTTAGAAATTTTTCTTCTCATAGATTTATATTTTAATTTTTACATTAATATTCAATTTTAAATGAATTTCAAGAAACCTTAATGTTGGGACTTTTGACTCATGGAGCAGTTTCTTCTGTTTTGCCTTCCACTGAGAATTGCTAGCTTCAAGACATTTTTATGCAACAGAACATGCTAAATTACTATAAGTAATTTTAATAGTAGTATAGTACCTATGTTACAAATACAAAAAGTAAAATATAAATCTGCACTAGTTTGTACGTTTATAATTTGACAAAATTTCAATATATTGCTGGTCAAAACGTATCTTCTTTTTTAAGCAACTCTGCATTCTAATTATAATTATCTAAGTTCTTGCAAATTTTTTAGCTTCTCTTCAAATCATTATGTCTCCAACTAGGCAAGCTGTTAACAGCCCTGACTTCACAGTTCTTGATGCAAGGGAGAAATATTGATTATCAACATGAAAGTCTAAACCATAAAACATGGCATACAGAACAACAAATTTAATACCTCTGAGGATTTGGAGGGACTACCTTCATCACTTCTGTCTCTACTTTCTTATAACATATACTTAGCAATATCACTAACCCTTTATTAGTTAATAAGTATCATTTATCAACGTCTGTTGGCAGTGTAATGCTTAATTCTGAGTGGTATCTTCAAACACTAGGCTGTCCCATCCATTCCCCTGGGAGTTGGGGGCCTCACTGTGTATTTATGCAGTCACCTTCATCTTTCATTATTCTCCTCTCTGTCATCTGCCTGAATCTGACTCACTTCCTTTGTTTAGGACAGATCAGACAGCAACAAACTGTTGGACAAGAGACTGACGAACTAATAAAACAAAAACAAACAAAAAAACCCACTTCTATCTTCCTTTGTTACTATGAATTTTGAGTTAATAAAACTTTTGAGACACTAGGTAGATGATCCTAAAATTCTATTAAGTAATGGGAATGGTACATTTTAAGTATTTGTTCAAATTAGAGGGTCAGGACACAATCCCTCCTCTGTTTCTGTAGACTATAAAAAGCACATTTTAAGAGTGGGCTGGAAAGATGGCTCAGAGGTTAAGAGCACTGACTGCTCATCCAAAGGTCCTGAGGTTCAATCCCCAGCAACCACATGGTGGCTCACAACCATCTAAATGCCAAAACACTGTATACATCATAAACAAATAAATCTTAAAAAAAAAGAAAGAGAAACCATTATTAAAAAAAAAAAAGAGTCATTAGCTTGGCCGTGAGATTTCCTTTATCAAAAGCATAGCCAGTCACTGACAACTGAACTTTTCACAAGTTATTTGTTTCTGACTTTTGTTCTGATGTCACAGAAAGTGGCAGGCTCTGAATGCTCACACTTTTTTATTCATCATGCACTGCCAAAAAAGCACACTTGTGTCTATAACATGTTCAGAATCTGCGGATATGTCTGAAGTCTCTGACATGATACGCAAAGAGTCAGTAAACACAAACTTCTCTGTTTTCCTTGTCTTTTACAGAAGGTGAAGACGATGGGCAGAGAAGCTCCACAGAGCAAAGTGGGGAAGCCCAGGGAGAAGCCGCCAAATCTGAAAGCTAACACTCCATTCTGACCTTCAACAACACCTGACAATGTGGCGAATCTCCTGGCTTCGCTCGGATGTATTTGCTGCCATGAGTGAAAAGGAGGGGAAGAAAATGGCTGTGCTGCATGGCAAGAAGCTGTGCGTTGCCATGTTTAAAGTGGGGGCAGAGCCTGTGTCTGCAGACAGCCGTTTCCCTACCTCTGTCATTAGCAATGGTTGAAATCACCTGGCCTGTGCTTGGATATCATTTTTGTATGGGTCCTTTCACTTGACCGTATAATGAAATGCTTGTAGAGAGTAGCACCGACCTCGCTGATGATTCCTGTAGCATCTGGCCCCTCATGAAGTCAGAGGATTTAATTGTGTCTAATTGAAAAGGGTTGGTTGAACCCCAGAGTTTAATTGTCTCTGGCTGGAGTATTCACCCAGTGAAAGAACCATCCAGAGAGCACTGTTAGCGTTCTGTCCCTGTGTGTTAGTGCTGTGTTATTTACACTGTTTTGTAGCGTGCAGTATACCTGCTCAGCACTGCCCTTTGATTGCTTATGTAAAAGAGAGGATGTACATTACTGTGAATTTTTATACCACTCATTTTTAAAGGGCTGCCTTTTTAATTTTCCATAGTGTTGTGGCATGCACGGGAAGAACATACTTTTGTAAAACACTACTTTCCTCTTGATAACTGTGTGCTGACGGTTAAGTCCACAAGATTCACTGAGACCCCTTTGCTTTGTTACACAGGCATTTGGAAATATCCATTAATGTGAATATTGCCTGAGTTCAGTCCTCTCAGTATCTGCATAGACAAGAATTCTATCAATATTGATCTTATTTCTAAATAAGAAGTTCTTTCAGCTAATATTCTAATTTTTCATAATAAGAACTTTTAAAAATTGAGAAGGTAGAAAAAGAAAGCCAGACAATACTAAATAACTGGAAATACTGTGCTCTGTGGATCAGTTTTCTCATGCAGATGTGTACCACTGTTTAAACCTGGAGGATGGCTTGTGAAGAAAGTACTCTCCTCCCAACCCTCTGGGTAGCAGTCCAAGGCGTGATGACTTTGTGTTGTGTTCCACCATGACCTTTTTCAGCCCTTTCATATCCAGATGTTATTATGCACTTTTTAACGTTTGTAAACTTTTACTAATAATTAGTGTAAATTACATTCTGATACAATATTTATCCCCTAACCACACTTGTACTGATGCTGTTGATGGTGTGTTTTGACATCGTGATTCTTGTATGGAAATTTTTTGTGGCCTGTGTAACCCTTCTGGTCAGTATTATGAAATCAACTCTCTGTGGTAGTAAATAAGGACACAGTAAGATGCCCAGGGCTCACGAATTATGGGACAAATATCAGATGACAGAAGGCCTTTGCAACAAAAGATCCCCTAAGTGTCCTGGAGAGCATAGCTACAGTTCCAGGTTAAGAGTAGTTTCAACACAATCCATGGGTCTGACAGGAACTCAGCCTGTCACTGTAGTTACTCACAAGGTGCAAGGGATGCCTGCTCACATCTTCCTTTACAGTGCATTTTTTACTGACTGGGAGTACATGAGTCTCATTTAGTCCCCAACTGGATGTTCTCCAGAAAAACAAGGAATATTAAATATGTCTTTCTGGATATAGAACATCAAATTGATTAAGTATGGGATGCCTTGCTTTGATCTAACTCATTGGAGGCTAGTTAGGAGGGAAAAGATCTAACCATTGACAGACTCAAACATGTTGGAAGAAGCTTCTGGGCCTGTTTAAACAATCTTTGATAATCTATTTAAAACATTCAACAGTTTTTGAAGTCCTTTTTTAATTATCCTTATAGCTTTCTTGTGATTATGAAGTTCATTCTCAAAGTTGTGGAATTCCAAACTGATTACTGTGTGTTTTGTAAAGTTTAAAACCAGTGCTGAGTCTATGTGGAAGGTTTATATCCCTGTGTGTGATACACTATTACTAATGCATGTGGCGCCATGCTTGTCTTCAATTATATAAATAATGCTAAATGGAGAAGTCATATGAAGCTTTTGATTTTGTTTTACCTCTTACTACTACTTTGCATACTGTATTCAAATACAGAGGTATTCTCAAGCTAGGAAGGGAAAAAAGCATTCTCGGTCTCCCACATTTTATCAGTTTTGCCTGGCAAAAAGTGCATAGAATCTCCTAGTTTTATTTTAATATCTCTTATTTGCAACTAAAGTAATAATACATAAGGAATGGATCTGTAATGACAGATGGAAGAGTAGACCATGTAAACAAGTGTTTGTTAACTATCCCAACTGAGTCACTTCAGAACCCTTTCTTTCAACTCTTCAAATGCACCATTTAGAATTCAATATTTCTCCCCATCAGACGCTGGGAAGTGAACATGAATAACGACTAATTTTTGCAAGATTAGATAGCTAATTTGATCCCATGTTTATCAACAGAATTTTGGTTCCACATGTCATAAAATTAGAGCTAAATTCACAGCATATTTCTCTGTTCGGAAAACGTTAGCAATGCCCTCCTTCAGCTTGCATTTCACAGAGAAAGAAAGTGAGTTTCAAAAGGGAATTGCCTTTCTTCTGAATTGCAAATGGGTCAGTGGCACATGTGGCTAAGCCCACATTTATTTTTGTTTTATGGTTTTGTTTTTTTAAAATATTCAATCATACCTTATTTTGAGAGTTTACTTCTAGCATGTAAACTGAAAATTTGCATAGGTTTATTTTGTGAATGTTATCAATATTCTATGATTTTATTTAGTTACCAAGAAACACAAAGATTTCTGTTTTTGATACATTGACAATGAGTGAGAAGTTGTTGAATTTACCTTTTTCCAAATGAAAGCATTTTATATTCATGCATGTTCATCCCAAGTTCACAGAAATGCTCTCTACTATGTAATTGAAATCATGACATTCATTTTTCAGGAAAAACTAGCATAGTAGGCCACTGTTGATGCCCTACCACTGACTCTTCCTCTGACACGGCAGCCAGTCACCATTTTAGAAAATGAATGGCATTTCTATTTTTTTTCTCAGAGGAATAATAAAAGAAAAATATGTAACTGTTGGGCAGCAAGCTTCTGAGTTAATCCTGCAATAGTGAGGAGAAAATGTGTAGTCATTAAATGAAAACAAGGAAGGATCCATAATTTATGATGTCTTAGAAGCCCAGTATTGTTCTTTGACTGAAGAATGGCAGCCTTTGAAGTCATTGTGAGCTTCTATGACTTTTGTATTTAGCAATGTTGCATGCTCACACAATTGATATTAAAAGCAGTACTTGTTTTCTGAAATGTAGTCTACCAAGAGTATTTATTTACTGTATACTGTATACATGGTGCTAGAGAAAGGGATGTAAAATACAAACTCAAAGCCAGAGGAACCTTGTGGTGCATGGTCCTGATCCCCTTGGTTTCACTTCCCTGTCCTTTGCCATAGAAAGTTCTGATCTCTTCTACTATAGCAGCCCAGCACCCTAAATTTTGCCTCTGCCATAACCATCCCTCTCTCAGATCTGAAATACCATCATACCTATGCTTCCTACTTGGTTATCTGAGAGAGAGAGAGAGAGAGAGAGAGAGAGAGAGAGAGAGAGAGAGAGAGAGAGAGAGAGAGAGAGAGAATCCAATACACTCCTTTCCTCTCAACTAACTGCTTACATGATTTTTTGGTAACTTCCCTCCAACCCACACTCTGATCATATGAGAACTAGAAATCAAGGTCTGAGGCATACACATTGTACTCTCTACTTTAAGGATTTCAGATGAATGAGCAAACACATACATTGTTACAGACACAACTCTTATCATTACGTTGTGGATGACATTTGGTGTTCAGAAGTATTTGAATAGACCTTCCATTTATTTGTGGTATTATTTATTAGATACAATACTTTTATCACAAGCAGGTAGAAAAGACCAAGAATAAAAGAACATGGAACTCAAGCGAAATGAGCCACTTGTCAGGCAGGATCTGAAGTTTCCAGGCCAAAAAGCCTTGCAAATATTCAGGTTTGTCTTACTGAAGCTACTCAAACAAAACACACATGTGAAATAATCCCCATGTACTTCTTATGTCTGTCTAATTTAGGATGTTAGGAATGGTCCCATAAGAAGATGAACATTTCTTCAGCAACTTCCTTAGGCAGAATTGCATCATTACTTTTTCTCTTTGGTGCCTGCAAGTTCTCTTCTTTCGTGAAGGTCTAATCAATTTAAGGACAACTAAAATTTCTCCCCTTGTCATTATTCACCTTTTAGATTATGCTAAAAAATTGTCAAGTAATATTTACTCATTGTTAGCAGTAGTCACCTTGATACAAGTACATTACAGATCTCTGATTCTGGAAGAAAAGGGGAAGCTTCTGGCTTCCTGACTAAGAGTCACTCCATCATCTTGATACCATTAATTTTCTCATGACCTTTACAGAATATAAGTTAATTGTCTATTTTTTCTAACATTACTTTTCCATAAAGGTACTCAAGTTTTCATGTCCATATCCCCCCTTTAAATTCACTCCTTCTTTTCTCAAAACTATCGTCTCTGTTCCCTGTTCTCTTGCAATTCCCCCTCATCCCTTACCTTCTGCCATCTGATTTGCAGCATCTCTCCCCATTAATAACTACTAACTATACAGTTGTCACTGAAGTCCGCAATTTATGAAATACAGAAATACAATTTATGAAATTAAAGAAGCAATATTTAATCAAAGGCTAATGTAAAAGTGTTTGTATAATTATAATTGATGCCTGCATGACAGAATATAGCAGAGCATTGTGTCTTCTTCAAAGTAAAACCTACATAGTCCACAAAATGTGTGTCCTCCCCAGAACACCACCTTCTGAGATGGACATATGTTGCTAATCCATGACCATATCTCCCTATTATATTTAGTGGCTGCATCCTTAGACCGTACTAGCCTCAAACTTAGCCATCCAGAGATAGCTCAGATGATCCTGTAAGCACTGCTAGCAGTTTTATTCTGGAATAACTAGTAATGGTACCATCAATTCTTCTCAAGAACACTTATGTTTTGGTAAAATTGCAGCCTCCTTGTACTCTGAGTTAGGCCTAACAAACAAGCTTCATAAGATTTTTTGAAAGTATGTTTACTTACTGAGTGTTCTTTTCCAATAACTTATTCTTTTTTTTTACTTCTTCCCTACTAAATATTGTTCTTCCATGGCAGTCTATCTTTTCTGAGTGTGTGTGTGTGTATGGCAGGGGGAGGTGACAGCTTAAATGAGTCCCTGGTACTGGAGCCAGGTGGCTAGCATTCTCCCAGCTCCTGCCTGTTACTTGCTAATCTGCACTCCAATGCCATCAGTGTCACACTCACCATAGTAAGTCTCATATTCTCTTCTCTACTGCTGACCTATTGGACTGTTGAACATGGAGTTCCCAAAACATTTAAGCCAACAAAAACCATTTATTTATTAAATATCATTCTATACACCTCCTTGATCTGGGAAAGCATTTTCCTGTTCTTAAAATTTGTTTTCTAATTGACACAATTGGCACTAAATTATTCAGATGCTGTGTCCTTAAATCTTTTCTAGAAAACTTTAAAGTTTAAATCTTCTTGACTTGTTTCCCCTTTCCAATATCTCACTTGTAAGGAATTAGCTGCTCCCTGTTCATCATTCTCTAACATTTTGCCTTTTAATGGATCTATTCTTTGAATAAAGTATGAATAAAAGATGGTAGCAGCTATATTGTCTCTTTACTTATCATTGCATCATCATTATCTCTTAAACACTTAGTATTTGTAAATAAAGTCTTGAATTCACAGTATCTTTAAGAGACAGACTTTATTTACAGACCAATTACGAACAAATGCAATTCAGGCATAAAGTTGATAACAGAAACATCTATACCATACCTTGCTGCATAAAATGCAGACCATTTTTTTAACAATAAGACATGTACTTTTAAATGTCCTCTCAAATTCTATGCTGCATTTGTATCTACATATTTGATATGCTTTACTGAGATGAGATGTCAAAAGGCAGTATGAAAAATTGATAAAGTTAGAATCCCTTGATATACAATGACCTCATTAAAACTCCTTGCAGGAGTCGTGAAGCCTGTACTCTCCCAAGGATGCTGATCTAAATCAGCCAAAGCAGATATAGCTTACTTCTCTGGCCTAAACACATCAGTCAAAGAGAGTTCCTGGAAACATGCTGAAAACCTTAACCAAGGCTACCATGGACTTTCTAGGAATATGATTTCCTGAGAGGTTTCCTGGAGAAGCTCCCTGATAGACTAAAGACATGGTATTTCTGATAAGAATAAATTTCTATGGTAAGAAAAAGAAAAGAAAATAATCAAAAGGGCTGCATCCTCTGCTTGAGGTGAGTGTGGGTTCTGCTCGGGCCCAACTCCCCCCGCCCCCTCCTTGGAACTTCCTGGGTCTACTCCTCATGTAGTGGACCCATCCCAAAAGGATAGACCACCCTAAGTCTGAACACACCTCAGTCTTAGCCTCTCCACGCCCTCCACCCTCCACCCTCCACTTGAGTCTTGGCACTCCTAAATCCTCTGCTTGAGTAAGGAGAACAACAGGAGAGGGCAGACCATGAACAGTTGCCAACACTGAAGTCTTGGCTCACCTATGCCCACTGGGAAATGAGGGGAGAGGAAGAGACCACACCTGCACTCGCTCAAAGAACGGATGAGAAGATGACAGTATAAGAATGCACTCAACAACAGAAACACCAATAAGACTCCATGAGAATCTAGGGATTCTACACCAGCAAGACCTGAACATCCCAACACAGATGAAGCAGAAGAGAAGGACCTCAAAAACAACTTTATGAAGATGATAGAACCCTCAAAGAGGAAATGAGAAAAATCCTTAAAGGAATGGATGAAAAAGACAAACTAAAAATTCAAGAAATAAAAAAAATCTCTTAAAAAATGCAAAGAAAGTCAAGAAAAATCCAACAAAACAAGTGAAGGAAACAATTCAAACAGTTCAAGGCTTGGAAGCTGAAATAAAAAAAACAAAGAAAACAGAGAATGAGGGAATGCTGGAAATAGAAAAGCTGGGTAAATGATCACAGACTACAGATGTAAGTATAACCAAAAGAAAACAAGAGATGGAAGAGAGAATCTCAGGTGTTGAAGACACACTAGAGGAAATACAGTAATCGCCCAAAGAAAATCTCAAGTCCAACAAATCCCAGGAAATATGGGACATCGTAAAAAGGCCAAACCTAAAAAGTAATAGATATAAAAGAAAGTGAAGAAATACAGCTCAAAGGTACAGAAAACATACTCAACAAATCATAGAAGAGACTTCCCCAACCTAAAGAAGGATATGCCTATGAAAGTACAAGAAGCTTACAGAACACCAAATAGACTGGACCACAGAAAGAAGTTCCCTCAACACATAATAATCAAAACACAAAATTTACATAATAAAGAAACAATATTAAGAGCAGCAAAGGAAAAAGGCCAAATAACATATAAAGGCAGACCTATCAGAATTACTCCCAAATTCTCAATAGAAACTCTGAAACCCAGAAGGTCCTGGATAGATGTTCTACAAATGTTAAGGAAACATGGATGCTATCCCAGACTACTATACCCATCAAAGTTTTCAATCACTATATTTGGAGAAAACAAGATATTCAATGATTAAAACAATACATACTCACAAATCCAGCCCTACAGAAATAACTGGAAGGAAAACTCCAACCCAAGTAACATAGCTACACTCACAAAAACATAGGCAATAGATAATCCCACTTTACCAAACACCAAAGGAAAAATGAGGAGAAGAATCCAAACAGCAATACCACCAACAACAATAAATCTGAAACAAGCAAGAATTAACAATCAATGGTCATTAATATCCCTCAATGTCAATGGTCTTAATGTGCCTATAAAAAGACACAGTCTAACAGAATGGATAAATACAGAATCCATCCTTCTGCTGCATACAAGAAACACATCTCAATGTCAAAGAAAGACATTACCTCAGAGTAAAGGGTTAGGATAAGATTTTCCAATCAAATGGGCCCAAGAAACAAGCTGTTGTGGCAATCCAAATATCTAAAATAGACTTCAAGCTAAAACCAATGAAAAGAGATGAAGAAGGTAATTTCATATTCATCACAGGAAAAGTCCAACAAGATAAAGTCTCAATTCTGAACAGCTATACCCTGAATACAAAGGTACCCACATTCCTAAAAGAAACATTACTAAAGCTCAAATCACACATATAACCTCACACACTTATAGTGGGAGACTTCAACACCCCACATTCACCACTAGACAGGATCGC